CATACATGTGTCGCTTTTTCTTTTTGAGATACAAAACATTCAAGGTTTCCGTATTCCTCAAGCAAGTTTAAAATGTTGGAAAAAAAACATTTGCCGTTGACATTACTTGTATTTTAATGTCAAATTATTTTCGATTGTGAAACGAGGCAGTTTTTAATTATTATTGTTATTTTAGTGTAAAGTTTAGTTTGTAAGTTTTAATTATTAGATAGATATCTTTATCCATTCGTTTAAAACATTCATACATCATGAATGAATATACTTCTGCTGATTATGCAAACATGATATTAATGTACGGTCAAGCGCGTTGTAATGGCAGGGCTGCCCGTCGGTTATACTCAATCCGATTTCCAAATCGTCCAACCCCTTCACATAAGATATTTGGAAGAGTGTTTCGCAGGTTGCAGGAAACAGGAACTTTTACAACAAATAGGGTTAACTGCGGGGTAAGGAGAAACCGCAGAACGATAAGGTTCGAAGAAGAAGTTCTTAATAGGATAGAAGAAAACCAATCCACCAGCAGTCGAAGTATTGCTCAGAATATGCATGTAAACCATGTAAGCGTTTGGCAAGTTTTACGCGAGCAACAGCTTCACGCTTATCATATACAAAAGGTTCAAGCTTTAACTCCCGCCGACTTTCAGCCACGACTAAACTTTTGCCATTGGTTTCTTCAACAGTGTCAGTTGCAAGCAAATTTTCCGCGGTTTGTGCTTTTTACAGACGAAGCATCCTTCACACGAGAAGGGATCTTTAATTCTCGCAACAACCATGTCTGGGCTGAAGAAAACCCTCACACCATTCGCTCCACTAGATTTCAGCAGAAGTTTGGCGTCAATGTCTGGGCTGGTATAATTGACGGGCGCTTAATTGGTCCGCACCTTCTTCCAAATCGTCTTACAGGTCCTATTTATTTAACGTTCCTACAACAAGTACTTCCAGAATTATTAGAAAATGTGCCATTAAACATTCGACAGGAAATGTGGCTGCAGCATGATGGTGCGCCAGCGCACTTTTCGCTTGTTGTCCGAGATCACCTTAATCAACAATTCGGTGTAAGATGGATTGGCCGTGGATTACCTATGGCGTGGCCACCACGTTCCCCAGACATGACCCCGCTTGACTTTTATTTGTGGGGCCATATGAAGAGTCTAGTTTATGAAACTCCTGTTGAGTCAGAAGAAGATTTGGTAGCACGCATTCTAGCTGCAGCGCAGGAGATCGAAACGACGCCTGGCACTTTTGACCGAATGTACACAAATATGCTTCGAAGAATTAACGCTTGTATCGCTACTGGTGGCCGTAATTTTGAGCATTTACTGTAATTTTTTTGTGCAAAATAAAAATACCTTTTAAACAACTTTAACTTTTTGTATCTCGAAAACTAGCATAGCATAGAAAAACATAGTTTTTGGAGCATAAGGTGACCTCAGTAATGTAAATGTTAATAACTTGATAATACTCATTTTATGGAAGTTTAACAAGTATACATTATTTACATAAAAAATACTAGCAAATTCAAAAACATACGAAAAACTAATATTTGTACAGTGCCGCACAATTTAGGGGGGATAAAAGGTGAAACGACACCTATCGCACGCCACTAGAAGAAGCCAATAAATGGTTTCTGCCATATTTATGCATTTAAGCTAGTAAATCTGTCTGTTGAGTTTGATAAAGAAATATTAACTAATACCGGAGCTACAGGCAAAAATAGTTTATTATTTTTAAATTTCAACGCCCTGTATCTCGAAAACGAGCCGCTTTAGGACATATGCTTATTAAGTAAACTGCACTTATTTTTGGATTTTTTACATACCATATCCGTTTGTAACACCTATTCATTAACACCCTGTATAGTAAAGCTGTCGAAGGCATCAAAATGCAGGGTATCTCATTAATATTGTGAAAAAATTCAGGGGGAGTTTCCTTGACCAAAATTAAGAAAGAATGTTCCTACAAGTCCTAAAATGCTTCGTTTCGGAGATACAGGCTATTGAAATTTAGAGAAAATACAAGGCTTTTACTAATATCTGGAGAACCCTAATTCCGATTTTTTGAAATTTGGTATGTTTGTTTATAAAAGCGGTAGACGTCTTCTGCCGTAATTTGAGTTATTTTATCTATTCCAGCGGCGTCCGGGGACTCACTCCTGTTGATATTAATAAGTAAATATGTGAGACGTCACTGCTTTTCCTTAGGTGTCATATGTTTTTCTACTTATGCGATTAGAAATACAACTTATTTGTCTCTTTACTTTTTTTGGTATCTTGCTTCGTTTTCGAGCAAAAAATTAATAGCTTAAGTGTGTGATTTTAATAAGTACTTGAACTGTGTGAAATAGTGAAATGTGCGATATGCATTTTCTTTATGGCCTTGCCCACGGTAATGCATTAGCCGCCAGGCGCCTCTATGAGCAGAAATACCCTAATCGTATAATTCCTCATCATCCTATCTTCACCGGTCTTCATCAACGTCTTAGTGAAAGTGGAAGTTTTCGATAACTTACCGCAAGAAACGGGCGACCCCGCACAGCAATAACCCTGCAATTGTAAAAAGATGTACATCATGAAATTGAGGACACTCCAACAACAACTACCAGACAGATTTCTAGAAACTTAATTAATTGCAAGTCGTTCTACAATTTTCAGGATTTTAAAAAATAATCTTCTATACCCTTATCACATCCAACGGTTTAGGCACTTTTACCGACTGATTTTCCGTTAAGATTAGATTTATGTCGATGGATACGACAAAAAATTGGGGAAAATCCTCACCGATGAGGCGAATTTTTCTAGAAAAGCCATAATGAACTTCAATAATATAGTCCAATTAACTAAGCCTTTAAATCGAAATTTTGTCAACTTGGCTGAATTTTTGATATGAGTTAGTTTAAGGTATATTATAACAATAAGTGAGAGTAATTTTTTGTTCAACCCCCGGCCAAGGGTGGAAAAAGATAAAACAAAGGGCTTTTTCAAGATAACTCAAAAAGGGTAAGAGCTAGAAAAAAAAGTTTTTCATGAAAGTTGTAAAGCAGACAATTCTACATAAAAATGGCCTCTTAACTTTTTCTTGTACTATTACAATTAACAGAGTTAGGGAGGCTAGAAGTTAAGGGAAGATTTCAGAAATTTAA